TTTTTTTTTTTCATTAAGAAACCCACAGGCTGGACGTGGTGGCTCACGCCTGTAATCCCAGCACTTTGGGAGGCCAAGGCTGGTTGATCACTTGAGCCCAGGAGTTCAAGATCAGCATGGCCAACATGGTGAAACCCCGTCTCTATAAAAAATACAAAAATCAGCTGGGCTGGTGGCGTGTGCCTGTAATCCCGGGTACTTAGAAGGCTGAGTTGGGAGGATTGATTGAGTCTGGGAGTTCACCTGCAGTGAGCCGTGACTGCACCACTGCACTCCAGCCTGGGTGACAGAGCAACAACACCCTGACTCAATTAAATCAACAACAACAGCAACCCACAAATACTTTAAAACTACTGTTCTACATCATGCCTTTCCACCTTGTATCTTAGAGTGTGCTCTATGTTAAGACATTCTTAACAGTTGTATGGGACAGATGTACATCTTTTATTTACCCTGTTTGAGGAGGTTTCTGAGCCAGAAGCTCAATGGTATTTTAGGAAGCTTTTTGGAGCAGGGGGGCTCCAAGAGAAGTAGAGGCAGAAAGACCAGTCAGCCAGCGATGTACAAATCCAGGAGCCTGGCAGGGCAAGTGGGGGTGGCCTGGAATTCCAGCGCCGGCCAGAACTCCAGAGTACTCAAGGCCACTGTGCTGCGGCCCCATCTCTTGCCACCGCTCCCTGGGGACTCATACCTTGGTGAGTGTGTCAGGGATGGAAGAGGTGGGAGAAGCAGGAAAATTCAAGACACACTTCTTCCCCAGGCAGCGACCGTGTAACTCGATGTCCTCATAAGGGTTCTCCTTCATTGGCGGATCTGTTTTCAAAGGCAATGCGTCAGGAACCTGGGAACACTGAGGACATTTCCCTTTTCGAAACACTGAGGTCAGCATCTTGGCCTCTCCTGTCCCGGTCCTTGTAGGGATATCTGCTGTTTTGCCATCCACGCGCCCCTCCTCTTGGTAGCAGCCCCTGATTTCACCGGGTTACCTCTCCATCTCTTCATCTGTGGCCATGGGAGATTAACTCCATTCTCAGTTTCAGTGCTTTAGCTAATCTAGTTATCCCAAATCCCTGCCTCAGTGATCAGTTCAGGGAAGGGCTCATATTCTAAGCCTAAGGGGATATCACTGCATGGCCTTCCTAGGCTCCAAAGGTGAACAAGGGACCTCGGCTGGTCTAATGAGGGTGAACCTCAGGATTTCTGGTGGGACTTGCACGATACAAGCTCTTCTCTCCACCAGGAAGATATGAATTCCAGAAAGCTGGTGGCAGCCATTGTGGGGATCCTGGGAAGCCTGCTGAGAATAAAGCAAACCTGAGAGGTAAGAAATAGAGGAAGGAGGCTGGGTGTGGTGGCTTACACCTGTAATCCCAGAACTTTGGGAGGCTGAAGCGGGTCGATCACTTAAGCCTAGGAGTTTGAGACTAACCTGGGCAACATGGGAAAACCCCATCTCTACTAAACACACACACACACACACACACACACACACACACAAATTAGCCAAGCGTGGTGGTGGGTGCCTGTAATCCCAGCTACTTGGGAGGCTGAGGCAGGAGAATCGTATGAACCCGGGAGGTGGAGGCTGCAGTGAGTCGAGATTGTGCCATCGCACTCCTGGGCAACAGAGTGAGACTCCTGTCTCAAAAAAAGAAAGAAAGAAAATAAATAGAGGAAGGAAAAGCTAGTTTAGTTGTTTTCTGTTCCTTATAACTGAAGCATCCTCTTAGGCAGTCACTGCTAAGAGAAGTCCAGATCTCTCTCCCACTTCAGATCTGGGAATCCCGCTGCTTTGGCAGGATCTCCAGCAGCCTGGACACATGCAATTCGAATTGCTTAGCTCAGTATCTGCCCTTCCTCAAACGTTCTATTTCCTCCTTCTGCAAGTTTTTTCTAGTGTTGATGATTACATGCCCGCATGTCTGCGTATATCCACCCTACCTGCCCCTCACTGGCACACACATACAGGTTTCTCCCTTTTACCAGCTTGTTTCTTCTCCCAGCCCTCACCCCCACCATAAGCAGTTGGATTCGCCTTTCACTAAAACCATCAACCTCCCTGAAGATGACTGAACTCACCAAACTCTGAATCTGAGACCCGCTCTGAAATCTCGAGGAAGCTTTGGAGCCCAAGTAACTTTTGAAATCACAGACATGCATTTAGTCTGTGTTCTGATGCCGTTAGTGCCACACTCTGACGGTTTCTGAAGGAGGCGCTGGTGTGTAGTGTTTTCTTTCATTCAGTAATCCCTGCAGTTGACTGAGCATCTATCACAAGCGAGGGAGTTGACATACCATTCTCTCCAGTCCTTAACCTTGCAAGGGAGCTAGCTTCATTCTCATTAGGCAGATGGGAGAACTGACATTCAGAGATGTGAAGTCACCCGTTCAAAGTCCTGCGGCCAATAGGCAGCAGAGCCAAGACGTGGTTCTGGATCTTCAGACTCTAGGCCCCACGCTTCTTGCTACGCCACGCTGCTACACTGCCTCCTTGGCCACGCATCACCAGCCAGTCTTCCCCCTCCAGCCCCAGAGTCTCTCACATATCCCGCGAGGCTCGCTCTCCCACCCCACCTGCCTGCTCTCTCATCCGAGTGCACGGGTGTCTTCGAGGGTCCGCATGTGTATTTCCAGCAGCCAGCCCCACTCTCCCTCCCCTTTCTCCCGGACAGATTCAGACCCACACAGACGCTGTGGCCTCTTACCCAGAATGTCTTCATAGACGTTCTCCTCCGATAAAGTACGCGTCAGCCCCAGCTTAGTCTGCGCGTACCAGTCCACCCTGCTGCTCTCAGAGGAAGACTGCAGTAAATCTTCAAACTCATAGGACTTTCTGGAATGTGCAAGATGGGAGGAAAAAACAAAGAATTTGAATCAAATTAGATTCAGAGAATATATTAATATATTCCCTCACCCAAATTTTCTTTTTCTTGGAAAAATTATTACCGAAATCAACTTCTTTTATTTTATTTCATTCTTAGAAAAACTATTACTGAAATCAACTTCTTTTATTTTATTTCATGTTTTGAGACAGAGGCTTGCTCTGTTGCCTGGGCTGGAGTGCAGCGGCACCATCTTGGCTCACTCCAACCTCCGCTTCCTGGGTTCAAGCAATTCTTCTGCCTCAGCCTCCTGAGTAGCTGGGACCACAGGCACGCACCACCATGCCTGGCTAGTTTTTGTATTCTTAGTAGAGA